TCGCCTCAAACCCCCAGAATCCCCACAACCACCAAACAACCCCCCTGCCTCTACCTCCCGAGTGCTGGGAGGGATTAAAGGTGTATGTCACCACTGCCTGGTATGAATCTAAAGTTATTTAAAGATTTCACAAGATAATGTAAATGTGTTTGTATAGGACTAATAAGAGTAGTGGCTCGGATGGAGGGTGATATGTCCCACTTTCCAAGGGAAAAGTTAATTCTAATAAAATCCAAAGCCAGTTGTTTGTTATATGAGAGAAATAACCGTGTCCTCTGGGCTCAAGAGCTTAAAGTGTATCTACCAAAAGTTCTCAATTTATTATGATTCAGAAAGATGGTTGGATTTAAAAACAGGCAGAAACCAGGGTTCCCAGGATACCTATCTGTTTCCTAACTTATGGTGTACATCTTTGTTAGAAAACATTCACATATTTTTAAGATGTGGACACTTGTGTAGTGTCTTTATTTTAATGTCATAAGTAGCATGTGCATGATATATGTCTTAGTTTTGTATTGCTGTGAAGAGACATCATGACACCTTGTTTTTAAAAAAAAGCATTTAATTGGGACTTGCTTACAGTTTCAGAGGTTTAGTCCATTATTGTTATGTCTGGATACATGGTGGCATGCAGGCAGACCTGGTGCTGGAGAGGTAGCTGAGAGTTCTGCATCTGGATTCACTGGGAGGAGCAAGAACACTGGGCCTGGCATGAGCTTTTGAAACCTCAGGGCCCACCCCCTCCAGTGTCTTACTGCCTCTAAAAAGCCAAACCCCTAATCCTTTCAAATAGTGCTATTCGCTAAGCATTCAAATATATGACCCTATAGGTTTATTCTTATTCAAACTACCACCGTATATAAGAAGTGGACTTAATTTGGGGAGGGGAAAGTAAAAGTTGGCTAATGTTTTTGAAAATATGTTAAAGTTTTCTTATTTCATGATTTTCTAGGAAGATCATAACCAGCCATTGTTTGGAGTTCAGTTTAACTGGCACAGTAAGGAAGGAGATCCTCTGGTGTTTGCAACTGTGGGAAGCAACAGAGTGAGTGTTAGGGGGGCAGGTTGGCAATTGTAATTATTTCGCATGTTACAATTAAAATATTGAAATGGAGTGATTTTAAAATAAATTCTGAATAGCTGGCTTACCAGTATAATTCTTTTGTGTAAGAGTGAAGCTTTTGAGGAATGGTCAGGGTTAAGACTAATACGACTAGAAAATACATTTTTATTTACATTTGTTATGAAGCAGGCTTTGAATCGCAAGAAGAATTGACTTATATTTACCATTCAAATATGAAAGCTGTACTTTTATTTTTAAAGTTTCATTTTATGTGTGTCAGTAGGCTGCCTGCATGTTTATCTGTGCTCTGTGTGCATGCATTGCTAGGGGTAATCATTTCATGGTACTGAAGATGTTTTGTTACAAATTTAATTAAAGAAGAATAAACCGTAATTATTTTAAAGTTTTAACTTTACTCACTTTGGAAAAGTTCTGATTATATGGATGAAATGTATATTTAAATGTTTGGAAATAGAAACTACTATTGCCAGGCTAGTATCACATAGAAGGTGTGAGGATTTATAATGGTTTGGATAAGCTTACAGAGCTGCTGCAAGCAGTTTTTGTAATGTCACTAAGTTGTAATTTTGGCTAGAATGTTTTAAGAGTCAGAGAATGTTTCTTTCTCTGAAATGATATGCATATTTTTGTTTCTTTAGGTTACCTTATATGAGTGCCATTCACAAGGGGAAATCCGGTTATTGCAGTCCTATGTAGATGCTGATGTATCCTTCTCTTGCTGCTTTTGTATGGTTTAAAACATTGAGTTTGATAAGTACACTAAAACTTTTTTTTTTATGTGGGTGCTGGAAGTTGAACTCGGGACCTCTGGAAGAGCAGCCAGTGCTCTTAACTGCTGAGCCATCTCTCCAGCGCCCCCAGTGTAATTTAATACATAGCTGGCAGTCATTCTAAGTATCTGATCAAAAAAGCTGAGATGGAAAAAATAAGTGTGGGTAATTTAGGAAATTATTGGAGAGTGAGTTATGAAGAAAAGGAAGATCTTAATTTAAAAGCCCAAGGGTTTATTTATTTATTTATTTTTGTTTTTAAGGAGTTTTAAAAGGCTGAGTGATGAGATGTTTCTTCCAGATCCATTTGAAAAAATACAGAAAGTGAAGGCTGGGGGCAGCACTGAATCTGTAGATAACATGGAAACGAGTGAACAGTTGCCATGTTAGGATGGTGGGAAATGAACCATTTATAGGTTCATAGCACTATCAGGACAAAGGGTCAGCGAAGCAAAGCCTGCAGTCTCACTACCCAGCTTTGTAAATAATGTTTTACTGAAGAACAGTCATGCCTATGCTGAGCTGCTCTTCCTTGCTGCTTTGGCAGTACTCCAGTGGAGGGGAATAGTTCTACAGGCAGCTAAAGAGAAGTGTGCAAGGAGAGAGCTTATTTGGTAATGGATTTTAAACCTAAAAGTGCTGCCACTGTGAATATTATTTATTTTTGAGAATAGGGCCTTGCTGAGTAGCCCTAGCTGGCTTTTAGTTTAAGAAAACCCTCCAGCTTCTGCCTCTTGACTCCTGGGACACCTGGGTATCACCGTGCAAATTTTGTATAAAGAAAAATGAATAATTAAAACTTTAGCTGTTGTTTAGAAGGTTCTGTTTATTGTAAATATTAACGTGTTTATTTTTCAAAATAAATTATATCTCTTAACTGGCATTTCTTAGGCAGATGAAAACTTTTATACTTGTGCATGGACCTATGATAGCAACACCAGCCACCCTCTACTTGCTGTTGCTGGGTCTAGAGGCATAATAAGGATAATTAATCCCATAACGATGCAGTGTATAAAGGTGGGTCTTTGGTCAAATTGTAGATTGGCTGTTTTTGAATACTCAGGCTACAACTTCATGGAATGACTTTAAAACTAATGTAGTCAATTTGATTTGATTTATGCCTTGCTTATTGTTTCTCCTTTACTGCATTTATTCACTTGGGTGTATGGAGCAGGTACATGAGTGTGTATACGTGGATGAGGTCAGAGGTGTCAGTTCCCATCTTCATCTGTGTGTGTCCTAAAGACCCAATTCGGCTTTCAGGGATGCCAGCCAGCACCTTTACATGCTAAGCCATCTTGCTAATCCGTTACTTTCTTTAGAGTAGTCCTTTGAAACTTCTGTGACAATTAGAGGATGTAAATTAAGGAATACATAGGAAAGTGTTAATACTTACCTTTTTTTTTCCTTCCCCCTCTGTGTATCTTTGTAGACCAGGCTGGCCTCAAACTCAAAGAGATCCACCCTCCCCTGCCTCGCTAGTGCTGGGATAAAAGGTGTGTGCCACCACTGCCCAGCTCCAATACCCACCATTTTTTAATTTCTCTCCTTCCCTTGCTTTGAGCACCTTAAAAAATTTATTTATTTTACATCCCAACTGAAGTTTCCCCTCCCTCCCTTCTTTCCTCCCAGCCTCCCTCCACCCACCTATCTACTCCTCCTCTAATTCTGTTCAGAAATGGTCAGGACTCCCATGAATAGCAACAAAACATGGCACATCAAGTTGCAGTAAGACCAAGGACCTCCCCTTGCGTTAAGGCTGGGCAAAGCTACTCATTGTGAGGAATAGGGACCCAAAATCCAGCCAAGGAGACAGCCTCTGCTCCCACTGTTAGGAGTGCCACAAGAAGACCAAGCTATACAATTGTCAAATACATTCAGAGGGCCTGCATCATTCCTATACAGGCTCCTGATTGTTGTTTCAGACTCTGAGCTCCTATCAGCCCAGGTTAGTTGATTCTGTGGGTTTTCTTGTGATTGCTTTGGACATTTTTAACTGAAAAATAACCACTTTTCCCAAGGGACCCAAATCAAGAATTGTGGGTTCCAGGGGACCCTGTAAGAGACAGAAAGGTAAAGCCAAGGAAGCTGATAAAAAGGCAGGCTTTAGATGTTGCTGTTTGTAACCTGGGGCTCACTTAAGCAATGCTGTTAGCTGAGTGGTGACAAATTGGTCCCATTTTCCTTTCTCTAAATTTGTTGGGCAATTTTAGTGTATAGCCAAAGGTGAGAAGAACTTTAAGTGGAAGTTTGTTTGGCAGCTTTGCTGGACACTGAACCTTGGGCCTTGAGTACACTAGGGTAGTGATCTACCACTGAGCTGTATCCCCAGCCTTTTTTCTCTTATGGTTTATGAAAGAGAATTGTTTTTTTTTGTTGTTGTTGTTTGTTTTGTTTTGTTTTGTTTTTGAGATATGAAAAAAAATGTTTTAAATTTATTGTAGCACTATGTTGGCCATGGAAATGCTATCAATGAGCTGAAATTCCACCCACGAGACCCAAATCTTCTCCTGTCAGTAAGTAAAGGTAAGCTTACAGAAACAAATATTTCTTTAGTTCAGATTGTTTCGGAATAATTATTTTAAAGAGACAGGTTGTGTTCTAAGGGGAAATAATCAAAATTAAAAGAAAAAAGGTTTTAATAGGAAAAAAATAGCCTATATTAGTATCTCATGAACCAAGACCAGAGAACAAACCTCATTATACAGAGATAGTTCAAGAACTTTACTCCCCCCCCCCAAAAAAAAAAAGAAAAAAATCACATTGCTTTTTCACTTTGAATGACGTATCACCATGTTAGGATTTTCAAAAGGTGAGTTGTTTGATTTGGTTTTGGGAGACAGGGCTTCTCTGTGTAGCTTTGTAGATCAGGCTCGAACTTAGTCTGTCCCTGCCTCCTGGAGTGCTGGGATTAAAGGCTGTGGTATCACTACTGTTCACTCTCTCTCTCTCTCTCTCTCTCTCTCTCTCTCTCTCTCT